GAATGAAGGACATGCGTGTCAAAAAAATGTGTTGTAGATTAGCTGTAGTACCTGTTTGCGCCACCAGGTGGAGCTTCTTACTGGTTAATTAGATGGAAAACTGCTGTTCGTTTAATGCTGTTGTGATCCAGGCAATCAGAGTGTATTGTGGGAGTTTAGCTAGCAAGGAGGCGCCATGAAAGAGACTTCTGTGACAGTTATTGGCTTCTGGCTAGAGCTAACGTATAGAAAATGTATTGTAGATTAGCTGTAGTACCTGTTTGCGCCACCAGGTGGAGCTTCTTGCTGTTTAATTAGATGGAAATCTGCAGTTTGTTTGCTACACTTAATGCTTTAGTGACTCAAGAAGGAAGTTGCTCAGACTTCAGGCAATCAGAAAGCATTGTGGTTATTATGTTGTAGTACCTGACTGCCCCACCAGATGGAGCAGCTTGTTTGCTACATTTAACAAAGTAGCAACCTCAGGAGGCAATTACTTGAACTGCATACAGTCATCTGTTGCCAAGCAGAGAGCATTGTGGGGTTTAGCTAGCAAGAGGCGCCATGACAGAGACTTCTGTGACAGCTAATGACTTCTAGCTAGAGCTAACATATAGAAAACGTATTGTAGATTAGTTGTAGCACCTGGTTGCCCCACCAGGTGGAGCTTCTTACTGTTCAGTTAGATGGAAAGCTTCAGTTCGTTTCCTCTATTTAATGACGTAGTGACCTGAGAAGGAAGTTGTTTGGACTATGGGGGATCAGAAAGCATTGTGGGGGTTTAGCTAGCAAGGGGCGCCATGACAGAGAGTTTGTTGGCAGTTACTGACTTCCGGCTAGAGCTAACATATAGAAAACATATTGTAGATTAGTTGTAATACCTGGCTGCCCCACCAGGTGGAGCAGTTTGTTTGCTGCGTTTAACATCATAGCAATGTAGGGAGGCAGTTGCTTGGACTACATACAGTTATCTGTTGCCAAGCGGAGAGCATTGTGGGGGGTTTAGCTAGCAAGGGGCACCATGACAGAGACTTCTGTGACAGCTAATGACTTCTAGCTAGAGTTAACATATAGAAACGTATTGTAGATTAGTTGTAGTACCTGGTTACCCCACCAGGTGGAGCTACTTACTTTTCAATTAGATGGAAAACTGCAGTTCGTTGGTAAAAGTACCTACGCCCACATAAACATGTTCCAGTGGGGGCTAACTGCTAGATTAGCATGTCGTATTGTCGTGTTCTTCTCGGTCTTCTAACTCGTCTCCTCCCCGACTCTCCTGTTTTTCTCGCCAGGCTTCGTCAGCTACGACAATCCCGTGTCGGCACAGGCAGCCATCCAGGCCATGAACGGCTTCNCAAATAGATATAGACAGATAGATTCTCCATCTCTACCATTCATGACATAAATGGGACCAACTGATAAACATAGTGATAAACTCAACTCGTAAAGTCAAACATTGACTCAGGTTGTTCGCCAGTGTCACTTTGGTACCACTTTAACCTTCTAATCGACCCTTTCAGCCTTTCTTTGGCTATGATGGCAACTTCAGTTGACAATAAGTGTAAGTTCCTGGATGCAACTTTACCTCTACGAGCACGAGGGAAGTAGAGGGATAAGGTCTAGTGCCTCGTCCAAACCAATCAGGGACAGTTCCTGCAGTTGAATGAACAAAAGGTTCGTCCGGAAACAGCCAACGAGTTTCTGCAGTTACAAAAAAAACAGCTAATAGTTGTGTAGATTCCGGGAAACAACTCATTTAGTACTTATTATTAAAAAGCCTGACATCCAAAGTGCATAATTACGCAGAAAGTTTACCGTTTGCACATCCGGAGAGCCGAGACTCCAGCAGCTCGTGCATATTTACCCGGGCCTGAATGGGTCCGCCACTAATATTCTCGCAGTTCTTTTCCGGGAAATGACTCTGGAGATCAATGAGTCCTCCTAATGAACAGAACACAACTAACTACGCTCAAGTTATTGTCTCCATCTTCTCTATAATTAGTGCAAAATTACTCCGCTTCTTTCCGGGAAACTTTATGGGAAATTAGTCGAGAAATGCAACACCCATAAAATATAATGTTTTGGGTTTTTGTTTTTTTTTTTTGCTCGTGATGGGACTCGGGGCAGGAAGTGACTCCTTCCCCTCCTCGCTGACAAAGAGACAGAAATCCACAGTGGATCTGCATTTGCACACGGATAACAAAACCTAAATATTCTGCACATCCAATCAAGCATGAATCAACGGCTCACGAACTTGTCTGGCAGTTGTCAGAAAATGACGACAAGTGACGATATCACAGGAGGAAGTGAAGTGGAGACGACAGCAGAGGAAGAAAGAATCACGATAAAGCTTTACTTTGACCACCGATGGCCTTCATCGATTAAGAACCCGCGGTCCTGACGTTCGTGGCCTCTGTTCTTCAGACTTCGCCGCCCTCCCCCCCGTTTGTTTCGCTGTTATCTACCAGCTTTATTCTTTCATTACTTTGTTGATGCAACAAACCAGCCCCCCTTTGGGAGTCATTAAAATTTAATCTTTTCTTATTGCGTACCAGGGGTGTATTTTAATCTAGGTGTAAATGTAATCCAAATAAATCAGATCTTGAGACACGGAAACAGAGCGAGGGCGCCTGGTGTAGTGTGTTAACATCGCTTTGTTATTACAGCGCCTTAATTTACGGACGGTATGGCTGCTGTAAATGAAAGAGAGATCGAGTTGACGCTTGTTTTGGACGATCCGAAGAAGCTGCTGTAGGTCTGAAAATTCTTACATTATGAGGATCGTGGGCTTTATTTAGCAAAACAATACCACCGGCGAGAAGGAGGCGACCCATCTTCTCAAATAAGATCTCATTAGAACCATTAGTTCCTTTTTTTTCTGGTTGTTTATCCACAAAAGGTTCATCAGCATGTTTCCAGACTCAGATGAAATACAAATAATACATGTTTTCAAACCCCCGAAAAGTAATTTATTGCTGCCTTGATAGCAATATTAGCTCCTTTTACACTCCAGCTTCTGACTGTCTTTGCTGCTTTTTGAATTAGAGAGAAAACTCCACAAACATGCAGAAATAATTACGTTATGTACATTTTTTCGGCATTCTTGGACTTAACGGCGTCGTCAAAACGGTTGAATCCTGCACTGCGATGGAAACACAAAGGCTGAAAAGGTCGATTACGAGGTCGTTCCTGTAAACATTCACGCCACCTCGCATCTGCAAAAAGCATTTACAAGTTAGTCTGAATCAGTGAGCAACATATAGGTCGCAAATTATGAGTGAGCTTCAAAAATCTGTCAGAAATTCCTCATATTTCTTACCTTCATGTACTCAAACATGAACAATATTTACCAGACAGCTGTGTATAATATCTGTCTGTCCACTAAGACATGATAGGTGTAGATTTCAGGAAAGGAAACAGGGTATGTCCCCGTCAATATTTACAAGATATGCATTGTTCACCCCAGAAAAAACAAGCAAAAAGCAAGAAAATCCACTATAGTATTAGTCATAGACATTACAGGGGCATTAAAAGTCTGCCTAAAATGCATTACGCAAGGAGTTTGATGCTAAAACAAAAATGTGAATTGAAATGTATTAACCAATAACAGA